ACGAACAGTCGTAAACGAGGCGTAAAAGCATTCGTATGCGTATATATTATAAAATATTGTGGTTCAAGAAAAATTTTCAACAGAATGAACATTTTTTCTTGTACTGACAAATTACTACAAGCCTCTTTCTTTTCCTTTTTTGTTTTATCGTTTACGAGCCTTTCTCTAACTTTTCGCCGATCGAGAATCCCTCGTAAAACGTAAAATGTACGTTTTGTTGCTGGTTGGGATATGTACATATGTACATGCGTACAATACATTTGAATATTTACAAAACCAACGACATAGTTTTCTCACAGCAAGAAATTGTACTGCACAGTACCGATTATAAAATCGTGTGACATAAACTTGTTCCTGAAGTAAATTTTATGGCTCTAGACCAGTGATTCCCAAAGTGATCCAGGTGGCCTCCCGGGGTCCACGGGAGATTTGACGTGGTCTACGTTGGCGTGAAGAAAAAGTTCACAAGATGTAAGTGGACGTTCATGAAAATTGATCTGGTTTGGACAGCAAATAACAAACATGTTGGCTTTGCTTTACGTAGGAGTGTAGGTACCTAGAATGTAGTAGATCATGCAATACTCAAAAAAATTTAAGGGGGAAAAAAATTCAAAATTTTGCGGTGATTTTTGCGAGTCTGGCAGTTTGAAGCTTTAAGATTCTAATTTTCAGATTTCTTGGCTAACAATTTTTAGGAGCTACGGTTCTAACCCTAACGGATATCGTAAAAAAATAATTTTTGCAATTGTTTGCTTTCTCTGTACACGGACTTGAAAATTTTTTTCAGTTACGGCGGCATATGGATATGATGGCCTTTTTATTAACCTTTAATTTCCTTTTTGTAAAATCTCCCTTTATTTTTTTGAGTAGTGTATTTTAAGACAGAGTTCGCAAAAATTCTCACTGAGGAATAAAATTTACATCTCTATCCTCACTACAACTCAATTCAAGAGCANTTCGGTTCGATATCGTGTCCCTATGAATAAGTACAACAGTGTCGTTTACTAATCGTTGTGAAGGGAAATAATTAGTAAATAATTGCATTCAAATTAAAATCTGTGGAAATCATTACTGTAAAAATTTAATAATTGCATTAAATTACATAAAAGTGAGTATTGTAACTATCACATATTACGAAACTGTCAGAAGCCTAGTCGTGCATATACAAAACCCATTCCCGCTCCGATCATTGAATTTCGACGACCCAATTCCGCCATATAGAGCTATATGTGCGCTAATAAATTTGAAATCTCTTCAACGCAGGAGAACAATTCTCTCGCTCACCTTTGTCTTTGACATAATTAATGGTGTGATTGATTCACCGTATTTACTCGAATGCATTTGCTTCCATATTCCTAACAGAACCCTTCGTAATACTGATATTTTTTATACTGAACGTGTCCGTACTCTCTATGCTTCCAACGCTCCAATCTTTAGAGCTTTGAAAGAATTCAATGTTCTCTCAAGTTCTTTAGCCATAGATTTTTCTATGTCTAAGCCCGCTTTCAAACTATTGTTAAATGAAGCTAGATTTAATGTATGATATATTTTATCTCTATGTAGTCTGTAAGCAACTTTATTGAGCTAGATTACTATTGAATGAATAAATATATAAATAAATTAATTATTGAAAGATTATGTCTGAAATTATTGCAGCATAGTTGATAATTTTATGCTTTTTGTAAAAATTTCTCAAAAATGTTTACCTAAAAACTGGAAATATCTGGTCTAAGTGAATACATATTTAGACGCCGAATGAATTGAAATATCACTAGCGAGTGTGTGGAAGAATAATCGTCTTATAATCGTTGCATAAATATTGAGACGATGAAGCAACTACGGTGGGATGACTAGTGTGCAGAAAGTCTAATTATTATTTACATTGAACAGAGCTGGGCGATAAGGATTACATATGTAATCGATTGCATCTAGGATTATGATTATTTTAATCGCAATTTCAAAAATTATTAAATCGTTCATCGAAGGCATCTTAAATTACGATTACAGTAATCGTAATTTAAGCTTTTTTAAAATTACAATTACTGTAATCGTAATCTAAGTTCGCTCAATGAATGATTACAAAACTTTTAAATTTACAATTTTTCTAATTACAATTTTTTTAGTAATGTTAAACGAAGTAATTCTATAAATTTGCGAAATATAAATGCGCGCTTAACGATAATATGAAGACAATATGTATTTATCTAAATCCTTATAACAGAAAATACAGGATAACAATTAAAGTAATCGTTCCTCGAACGAACTTGGAATACGATTACAGTAATCGTAATTTTAACTTTTTTAAAATTACGATTACTGTAATCGTAATCTAAGTTCGTTCGATGAAGGATTACTGTAATCGTAATCTTGTTTTTTTAGCTTGTTGGGATTACTGCAATCCTAATCGTTTAGTAATCGTAATCCTTATCGCCCAGCTCTGACATTGAACCCAAAAGTGTCACTCGGACGGGAAATTTGAAAGACAAAGCCAAATAACGCGTTTCCCCGTACAAATTCGCATTTCCACATACAAATTGGCATTTCCAAAACCACGCATTTCTTCCGAATTTAAAAAAATTTAAAAAGATCATGCATTCCAATAGATGTATTTTTTTGTATTGAACACACTAAAACCCACAGTGTAGACAGTGTGCCAAGTAATGACAATATCCATATTTGACAATTCATACGTGAACTGATGTGTTTGTGTTAGTTGTTTATTTCAATTAACCCTCAGATAACACACGTTTACAAATTTTTGTTCTGTAATCAAAATTAATTTTAATCGCAAAGATAAATTCCTATTACTTAATTAAATAAAATTTAATTTCGTGCATTCTTTCTATTTCCACATTGGATAGATTGGGCACTGGTATTTGCTTTGGCGGAACTGATTCCGGATACAATCGTTTACGCTTTAGGCTCGTACTAAAAGGGTCGGAGGTGTTAAAAATGATAATCACAAATACGTGCTGTTGGTGACAATGACATGTGGCAGCTAGCTCCCACTGNAAAGATAAATTCCTATTACTTAATTAAATAAAATTTAATTTCGTACATTCCTTCTGTTTCCACATTGGATTGATGGGGCACTGGTATTTGCTTTGGCGGAACTGATTCCGGATACAATCGTTTACGCTTTAGGCTCGTACTAAAAGGGTCGGAGGTGTTAAAAATGATTCTCACAAATACGTGCTGTTGGTGACAAAGACATGTGGCAGCTAGCTCCCACCTTTTTTTTACATTTTTTTACATACTCTTGCATAAAAAACACGTATACGGCATTATTTTTTTTCGCTTTCTGTATTTCTTTTTTGTTAATATTTTCCTCTGTTCACGATTTCAAGAAAATTTAAAATTCAAACTACCAAAAAGGTTAAATAAAGTGACAACAAATTTCAAAATTTTAACTAACACACTCAAGCAATTGTCAAATATGGGTATGAGAAAAATTAAACGTCATTACTTGGCACACTGTATACACTGTGCTAAAAACAAGAGCTCTTCCAATAACTTTTGTTTGCCTTTGACATTTGGAATTTTTCAAACTCTTTGATATTTGGGCATGATTCAATAATACAAGGTTGTGTAATTTGTGACAGCTAAAATTTGACACTCCTTTATCTAGATTTGTATTTTGGAAGTAGGAGAAAGGGGAGAATGTGATCGCCTTTTGCGAAAACGGTAGTAGAAAGGTACTACAAAAAGTACGCAAAGTATACAATTAGAAGTAAAGGTGTATTATTAATTCTATGCGAATTTGCAATATATTTGGTGTTTTAATGGAAATACTAAGCAATACGTAAAATAATAGATTTTTAATTTAAGTTATTCGTCATTGTCTGGAACAAATCTAGAATACCGACCGTTCAACTATGCAAAAACAAAAAATGCACATCAATAGAACTTTTTACGCTCATTTTAACCATGTCAAAATTATTTAGCGCAAGTAAAATTTAAGACGTTTTAGAAGGTTACAATTAAATTCCTTGATTTTTTTTAACATTAATCTGCCTTATCATGAGTTTCGCTTGAAAAAAAATTCACCCGAAAATTTGTTACTCGCCCATAGTAAAAGCATGGAAACCAAAAGTGAAAAGTGAACCGGTTCAAGGAAAATGAAACTCATGGTAAGGCTGAATATCTTATGAACCACATAACCGATGAAAAAACTAATAACGTCACCATAAAGATAACCAATTTATCTTTCAGCTGATATACATAATTGAAATTCTTTTAATATATTTAAACCAAAACCACTAAAAATCGAACATATGTTATTTTTTCATGAAATAACCTTTTTTGAAAAAACTGCATGATTAATGGTAAAGAAATTTATATTATTTAAAAGGTACAGGCTATTATGTTTAATTCGATATACAAATTTTATCATGATCTACGTTTGGGTTTTAAGAAATAAGTGATAATAAAAAATATAAGTAAACAAAGCAAATAAACCTCTTATATCTTCTTTGTTTATTACCTGCGCCAAATAAATTTGGTATCGTTGAAATCAGCGTAAAAACTTCTATCAATCGGCACTTTTGGTTATTTTATAGCTAAACGAAATTTACGCTAACGAAGCTGATCCCAACGAATGTTTAGTATGAAGAATTTTCGGTTTTACTACTAATATAACTAGAAACTGTAGAGTGTGCAACATTCTGCACAAGTAAAGGAGCCGATTTTATGCGTGGAAGCGAGAAGACTGTTTTATTACAAAACCTTTCTATTATTGAATCATGATATTTGGGTATAAACATTTTTAATTTTAAGCAATATTTACAACTTTGCACATTCTTGGTAATAATTTTGCTTGCCTTTATTGTGCTTTTGTGTTCCCTTTTCAATTGATGGTAAGTCAAAGCAAATGCGAATCAGGCAGTGCAAACTATTTCAAATCACTGATTTCAAATCACGCATTGGGTCCAATGTAAATGTAATATAAGTGGTTAATTGTGCATTTAGCAGTGCATGGCAAAAGAGGAAGTCCTGCTTACCTGTATAATAGGGTGACATATTTGGTTCATGTGTGCTTGCACTTAATTTCATGTCTGACATATTTATGGGTACTAGCGGCGTTAACGAACTACTGCCTGGTGAAGATTTAAAACAAAAATATAATAAAATAATAAACAAGAATAAATGAATATGATCGCTAAATGTATAATAATAAAAAGCGTTGTAAAAAAAAATATTTATTAATACATAATGTTTTTGATCGTGGCTCAGAAAACTTAACCACTAAAGTGTAAGTAATATATATTATGCCATGAACATATACATAAGGCATTACAAATAAAGGGGCGGGTAAATATGGCATATTTGATTACGTTACACATATATGTATATACATATCGCCGTTTAAAGTACAAAACCGCGTACCAAGATAATGCAAAACCGCGTATGTGAGGTTGCATAAATTATTTTCTAGAGATTAAAAACACTAATAGTTCAAAATAGTTCTATTTCTTATAAAGCAATCGAATTTCTGGCTAGTATATCTCAGGACGAATGGATAAGGATTGAGCCAAGGGCTTGGCAGCAAATGTCAGTTACGCGCTTTTGCAGAATGACGATACGCTGTTTTGTACTTTAAACGACGATATGTATGTACCAGAGTTGTTGCGAATATTCGCATTCGCAACCGCGGAGCTTCCGCATTAATTTTAACATTTGCATTCGCTTTCACATTCGCAATAATCAATGCGGAGCTTTTGCGTGTGCGAATGTTTTGCAAGTGCACCGATAAAACGTATATTTGACAAACAAAATGACAAATTGTAACCAATATTTTTGCCTGTGGTCGTGGGAGTATTGGTGTAACAAAACTGGTCAAATGTCATATTTATATTTGTTGGGGGGCGGCGTAGCGTGACGTGGTGTGCGCGCGCGGACGCGGGCCGCCGCGAAGTTAAGCAAATTTAATGTTTGAAAGAGCAATAATGTCAATGGATTTTATTTCGCTTTTAAAAAGGTAACAATGTCAATTGACTTTATTTCGCACCAGGGTGGGAAGTAAAGTCGATTGACCTTATTTCCGTTGATCTTATTACCTGTCTCCTTTATGTGTATAACTTTTTCAGCGCAAAACGGAGTCTTTCAAAAATCATGGAAAATAGTAAATGTATGTGTGTAGTATGTGCTCCTTATTTGAAATAAACTGTAACAGTTTGAAAGCTGTCACTTGTAATTATCAAAAAGGTAATACTTTAAGTTTTTTCCATTTTGCACTTTCAGCAATTACTAAATTGTTCTTATTTGTTTATACACATGTTAATTACTTATTAAAGATAAAAATAAGACCTATTTTTTTTTTTTTTTTTTTTAAATATAAAAATATTGAAAATATAACAAATATTGTGTGAATAGAACTTTGCGTGAATGGCTTCAAAACTCCCGCTTTTTTATGGCACACTGACAGACTAAAACATAACAGGTCGTCAATTGACTTTATTTCGCACCAGGGTGGGAAGTAAAGTCGATTGACCTTATTTCCGTTGATCTTATTACCTGGCACCTTTATGTGTATAACTTTTTCAGCGCAAAACGGAGTCTTTCAAAAATAATGGAAAATAGTAAATGTATGTGTGTAGTATGTGCTCCTTATTTGAAATAAACTGTAACAGTTTGAAAGCTGTCACTTGTAATTATCAAAAAGGTAATACTTTAAGTTTTTTCCATTTTGCACTTTCAGCAATTACTAAATTGTTCTTATTTGTTTATACACATGTTAATTACTTATTAAAGATAAAAATAAGACCTATTTTTAATTTTTTTTTTTTTGTTTAAATATAAAAATATTGAAAATATAACAAATATTGTGTGAATAGGTCTTTGCGTGAATGGCTTCAAAATTCCCGCTTTTTTATGGCACACTGACAGACTAAAACATAACAGGTCGTTGAAAAGGCTTAATACATAAAATATTTTTTGTCTAAAATACGGCCATGAATTTATATGTGTGTATGTAAGGATTTTCAGATCTTTGGGCATTGCGGTTAACGAATTTTTACATATTTAATCCAAAATGATATTTTCAATAGATCTTAAGCAAAAATTAGTTTAGTGGCCCGTCAACTTATGTCAAATATTTGTACCTCGAAAACCACCTCACCAATCTTTACCAAATTTTATATACACATTGCACCTGACCCTTTTAAATACTGTCTTAAAACTTTTTGAAATGGGACGAAAACTACGCTCTCTAGAAATATCACTAACTTTGAGTTATCACAAATTCAAGGTTTTTACTTATAACTCTTTAAGCATTTGAGAAAAATTAGTCACACAAGAATTTAATGTTTTCTCAATGGATTTCAAACAATTTAATGTATAATTTATTTTTGCGCGTTCAATTTAAAAGTTCACGTGTTTTAGTGTTGAATCGCATGGTTCCGGTGATTTGCCCATATGTATTTTCAGATTTATTCAATGAATTGTTTTCTACTTGACTTTCGAATGACCCCGAACCTGACGTGATGGGGGTAATATACCTCGGATTCGCATTCGGCGCGTCGAAAAACATAGGGATATAGAGGTTTCGTTCAATATGCACAAACTTTTTTTTGGAAACCTGTGTATTTGCTTGTAAAGATTGAATGATATTGGGATCTGTGATGAAGGACAGCAATCTTAAATCTCTCCAGCATTTTTACTAAGCCAATCTCTCGTAAACTTGGAAGAATGTTGGAGATAATTGAGAGGATACATCATGATTAAATAATTCTTCACCAGAATGAAAGCGAACAGGAGAAAGTAAACTTCCTTTGAAAATTATCTTGTCATTTTCATCTCTAACAGATCGTAAAATATCACACGTGGAACACTGATTCTGGTGCGGAAAATGTTAAAGCTGTTTTGAAAAATCTCTAGCAAAGAAAAAAGGGGTGATGAACCTTCCGCTTAGGTTAAAATTACATCGAGAACTCACGACGACTGTCCCTGAAAATACAAACTGTGCACCTCGACCTGATGTTCACTTATAGTCATTTATTAAACAGCAAAAAGAGTAAAAAAATCGCGTTTTTTGCCATATTTTAGAAGCTCTGGCAAATACACAAAAGGTGATAGAACCTACCATTAGAACTAGAAATATCAACTACTATCCCTGCCCTTGGCCGATGATCACTTAAAGTCAATTATTGAACAATAAAAAACACTGGAAAATTGTGCTATAAAAAATAATTTTGCCAAAATCAGTTTTTGCTGTTCAATAATTGACTATAAATGACATTAGGGTCAAGGTGCAGGGATGATATTTTTTGGGATTGTAGTCAAAAGTTCAAGCCTTTATTTAAGCCTAAATAAGTGGAAGGTTCTATCACCTTTATTTTAATTGCGGTAGATACTCATACTTCGCCAATATCAGTTAATCATTTATTAATTATTTAATCATAATCCTGAGTAATTACTGTTTACTCAAAAAAATTAATTGCAATCTGAATAACTTTATTTATTTCTTTCGAGTTTGCTTTCAAACCAAAAGAAATTTTTTTATGTGTATGTTTGTATTTACAAATATGTATGTTCGTATGCACCATGATACAAAAAATTATTTTTGGGACTAGGTATGGTAGCACGAAATGCCACAATCTGCTTAATTGTCAGGTAGTTAATATGGCGCCCGAAAATTGACAATGAAACTCCCTTCTTTTTTATATCATGGTATGCGCATTCAATATTTTCTTATTAATAAACAAGTATTTTTTAGCAAAAAAACCGACTTAAAAAAATATTTATATATATATATATACATTTCATGATCCAATGATCGGATATAAACCAGATTAGTATGGGACCACCTCTGAGATACTACCTTTCCGATGCAAATTATCGAAGCCGGTTGACGTGGTCCAAAGTTATGCGGTAACATACATAAACAAAAAAAAAATTTATATATATTCCAACGAACTGATAACCTCCTCCTTTTTACGAAGTCGGTTAAAAAATGCCAAACAGGTGAGACATTCTTTTTCGTATCGGACACCAAATTTGGTGTCACACCTTCGATTGGCTCCAAATTTTTTTTATGGGTCCTATACATGAAATAAGCTAACACGTGTTCGAGGAATTTTTTTCCGCTTTTTTCTTTGGAGACATGATCTGTCAAAGTTTGCATTTTTTCGTGATTCTGACTAATCATGTACTTCTTCAATATAACCGCGCCCATTTCTAGAAAATTCTTTGATTGAAAATGTTGTGGAACAAATGTTGTTAACGAAGCGATATTCTGCCGAAATCTGCAATAAAATCTGCGTTTTGCAAACTTTAGTCATACAATTGCCGCGCCCATTTCTAGGGGTTCGTCGCCTTAAAGAAAAATCTTGCCGTATAAATATTATACCGGTATAAGTATTCTATCGGAATCTGCAATAAAATTTAAATTCTTGCAAAAACTCAATGTTTACCTCAAGGTCCGCAATTTGGTGTATCTATTCAGATTAATTAGAAACCGTCAACCTGGTTATCTTTTCCGGAAATTAGTTTTTGTGAAATCATCTTGTACACGCAATATTGTTGTCCCAAAGTACAAAACTTTAACGGCGTCTAGATTGTTTTTTGTTAGTGCTATAAGAATTTGGAACTCACTACTAATTTCAATTAAATGCATAACATCGATTAGTTGCTTCAATATGGCAGTTACAAACCTATATGTGGGATATCCTCCTTCTATTCCCCTCATCTATGTTTACTATCCTATTACCACATCAACAAATTTGTTATTTTACTTTCTTACCCTATAATTTGTGTATTTTATACTTCTTTTAGTACTTCTAGGATTAAGTTAAAAGTTTTGAAATTTATATATTAATATGCGTACAACGAAAAGACCCTGCGTCTTACTGTACCTATGAGATGTAATAATAATAATAATAATATATATTTAACACCTTACCAAATATATCTTAACATAGTTTTTGAACAAAAGTTACAAAAAATTGTCGATTCTCGCAAAATAAACCATCTCGTCATAAAGAAAAATATTTTAAAAATAGTTTTTGAAAAACCCCCATTTTTTTAACCCCGTTTTTTATAGAGAATGAAGCAGGGATTACGATGGTATAATTTTAAATCCTTAATTTACTGGTCTTCA